TCCGCAGTTACTACATCGACTGCAGGATAGTCAGAAACCTTCCAGGCAATCCTTGTGACACCTTCCAGTCCTGCCGCGTTTTCGCCCGCGGTGAGCCGTCCAGTCCCTCCCTGGTACACTCAAGCCACCAAGCCTTACCTCGGACGCTGAAACTCAAGCCATTTGCCGTCTCTACCAGCGTCTTCCTCGACCATTACTGAATCAATAGCAACTCCAGCCAAAGACAAGGCTAAAAGTGCGTCAACCATACACTTTTACATCACCAAACCTAAAAAGACATAGCCTTCTCAGACCACTATCGAAACAACAGCAGCTCCTGCCAAAGACCAGGACAATGATGTAACAATCATGCAATATTTCATCCTAAAAAGACACATTTTACTCAGACCACTATAGAAGAGGTAGAAGAGATGTTAAACAACTTGAATGCCGACTCCTTCCTAGAACCCCTGTATGAAGTGTTTAATTGAAAGGAAATAGAAGAGGCTGTAGTACCCACCTTTACGAGAAAGGAAATCATGGATCTGGTCACGCTCAAGCAGAGGATTGCAATGAAATAATTCCTCGACAGGGGCTCTGACCTAGGAAAGAGGATGTCCAATTGCAGGGCGGCTTGTGACAGCTAATGAATCCCATATGTCCCTTCAAGAAGGATCTGTCTGGTTTGAGAATTATTTTATTTAATTTAAATGTAAATAATCTCTTTTGTAGGGATATTTTTGCTTAAATTTTTCGTTTATGTATCTTGACTAGAGGTAAAAAAAACACTTAATTTTAAATTGTCTCTCTTTCTCTCACACATAGTGGCAATTATTTTATTTTTTACCAATAAAAAAACTACCTACTTTCCACAAAGGGAATATATTGGGAGTGCCTTGATCACCAGTAGTAAATCCTTGCAGCAGTCTAATATTTAGGAAACGAAAACATTAAGACACACATGTTTCTTTTATACATAAAACAAGCCTCTACTGTCCTTACTGCGATGGAAAATATATTGGGAAGGCTTTGTTCATCATTAATGAACCCTCCCAGCGGTTTTGCCAATTTAATCTACCAGACCACTTCTTAGAGCTCTAATATTTTATTGAACGATTCTGCTTATAAATGCTACACTGAAGGGTGGAATCTTAAAAATGATACTCAATAAAACAATGGACATGAGCTTTTAGGACAGTAGAATTTTTTTTACTCTATTTATTTTATAAAATCTATATATATATAAAATTGAATGTCTGTCTGTATGTTTGTACTCTATAGATTCAAAAACCATATATCCAATCACCGTGAAATTTTGGGATATTATTAGGTATATCCCCGGGAAGGGTTTTGAAAAATAATATCTTGAATATCCTTAGAGTTATTTGCAGATTTGTAGATTTAACTCGCAAGCAGCGCCCCCCATTGCGACGATGATAACAAGGTTTTTTATCTATAAGTTTTATTATCACTAAGTTTATTATCTTAAAGATTATTTATCAAAAGTAAGATTTTCTACCTATTAATTGCGCACAAATCAAAGTTAGTTTTATCATTTATCTACAACATATATATTGGGAGAATAGATAAAATGATGACTTTGTAATGTAGAAATTAGGAAAGACAAAATTCAGGATGACACGGCAATTTATTTGAGACAAGAATAATAATACAATTCCAAGGCAAAGATACTATTCCTTTAACTTCCAATTACCGAGGGAACCACTTAATATTGATTTTATTCAACTTATCGAGTATTTTTCAAGGAACCGGGAAAAAATGCTCACTAGATAAAATGATGATTTTGTAATGTAGAAAATTAGGAAAGACAAAATTCAGGATGACACGGCAATTTATTTGAGACAAGAATAATGATACAATTCCAAGGCAAGATACTATTCCTTTAACTTCCAA